GCCTGGTAGTACAACAGTCGACCAACACCACCGATAATCGTTGAAATACTAAAGGACACAAAACAAACAAGATGAGTATTACTGCCCTACGGCTTTCAAGAGTTACAGAAGATCTTGTAGAGAAGAAGAAAAACATCATATAGCAATAATTATTTCGTTTCAATAAACTAATTCTAATGCTTTTATTTTCATTCCTAGCACAAACATTCCTGAATTCACCTGATCGACAGTATACAAAAGTTTCTCTTTTTCTAAAGTTCTGTGATTTTTGCTTCGTTACGGAACAAAGCGAAAGTAGGCAGATTCAATGTCGTAATATGCGAAAAGAGTTCCGAATCTACCTGACTGATAGTACACAAAAGTCTTTGTGTGTAATTTTTCTTCCTTACGGAACAAAACTAAATTAGACAGATCCAGTGCTATAATATACGAATAGAATTTTTTCTCCTACTCCTTTCTTTTCGTGTGCTCCAGAGTAATTCACTTGTTTGGGGCAGAAATAGGTTAAAAGAAAAGATTAACGAAGTACTTGCTTACAGTTAACCTAGAGACTAGTTCTGTGGTGTCCTTTGATTTATACGGAATATACCGTGTGGCTGCTATACTTATTAAAAACATTGCTCAATAAAACACTAAACGAATGGAGCAAAACCATTGTATCTAAAATTAACATCGTCGATCACACTTTTCGAACAACGATCTCATCCTACTCATCAACAATTATTCAATCGTGAAAAGATCTTGGAAGGTTCTTACAGCACAACATGTTCAACCAAAACCACTCTTCCACAATAACCGGATACAAATTTCCTTCTTTCATATAGCATCAACTTGAGATATTTTCGAAGAAACAGTCGTGAACCAAAGACTGCACTCTTATACTTTTTAGGTTCATCGACTCATGCAATAAGAGCAACGGAAGCGGTAGCAGTACCGGAACCACCACGCTCCCCGACGACGACAGGCCCAGCTACTAGTAAGCGCAAGTTCATCTCGTTTTCTTCATAGGCGTAAGAAAACAAATAAATCTTCCTACCCATCCCTTTTTTCTTCCACCAAAGTGACCGACAGTATACAAAATTTGCTGTTCTTCTAAAATTTTGCTATCTTTCATTCTTTACGGTTGAAAAGGAAAATATGCAGTTTGCATGTCGGCATGTGCGAAAACAGTTTCAAGCCCCGCTTATCGAGTGCGTACACACGCTTCTTTCTTTCTTTCAATTTTTCTCTTTCACCAAACCTGTGTCAGTCTTTTTCTGTGCATGAGAAAACAGAATTATATATATTCAATGTCATAATATGCGAAAGAGGTGCCGCATTCACCAGACGGACAGTATACAAAATTTCCTGTTTTTCTAAACTTTTGCCATGTTTCATTCTTTACGCCTGAAAGGGAAAACTTGCAGATTCAATGTGGGAATGTGTGAAAAGAGTTCGGAACCCCGCTTATTGGATCTGTACACACACTTCTCTCTTTCACCAACGTTACTACTGTTTTTCACTTTCACCAAACTTGTCTCGGTTTTTCTTCTGCGCATGAGAAAACAGAATTGCATATATTCAATGTCAAAATATACGACAGGGGTTCCGAATTTCCGCGACCAACAGTACACAAAATTTTCTGATTTCCTAGAGTGTTGTCATCTTTCATTCTTCACTGCCAAAACCAAAATACGCAGATTGAAAGTCGTAACGTGCAAAAAGAGTTCCGAACCAAGCTTATCGACTGTTTACACATACTTTTTTCTTCCACCAAAGTGACCGACAGTATACAAAATTTCCTGTTTTTCTAAACTTTTGCCATGTTTCATTCTTTACGCCTAAAAGGGAAAACTTGCAGATTCAATGTGGGAATACGTGAAAAGAGTTCGGAACCCCGCTTATCAGCTCTGTACACACACTTCTCTCTTTCACCAACGTTACTTCATTTTTGCGTTCTACTATTTTTCACTTACACCAAACTTGTCTCGATTTTTCTTCTGCGCATGAGAAAACAGAATTGTATATATGCAATGTCAAAATATACGACAGGGGTTCCGAATTCACGCGACCGACAGTATACAAAAGTTTCTGTTTTTCTAAAGTTTTCCCTTGTTTGATTGTTTACGGCTAAAAACGGAAACATCCAGACTGAATGTCGCAACTTGCGAAAAGTCTTCCGCGCCGTCCTTATCGACTGTGCACACATACTTTTTTACTTCACCGAGGTTACTTCATTTCTGCGAACTACTATTTTTCTCTTTCACCAAACTAGTGTCAGTTTTCGTTCTGTGCATGAGAAAACGGAATTATATCGACTGTGTACACACTTTTTTCTTCCACCAACGTCACTTCATTTTTGCGAAGTAGTACTTTTCTCTTTCACCAAACTTGAAAAGAGTTCCGCGACTGTGTACACACACTTCTTTCTTCCACCAACGTTACTTCATTTTTGCATTGTACTATTTTTCTGTTTCACCAAATTTGGGTCAGTTTTTTTCGGTGAATAAGAAAACGGAATTGTATATATTCAGCCCCGCTTATCGAGTGCGTACACACGCTTCTTTCTTTCTTTCAATTTTTCTCTTTCACCAAACCTGTGTCAGTCTTTTTCTGTGCATGAGAAAACAGAATTATATATATTCAATGTCATAATATGCGAAAGAGGTGCCGCATTCACCAGACGGACAGTATACAAAATTTCCTGTTTTTCTAAACTTTTGCCATGTTTCATTCTTTACGCCTGAAAGGGAAAACTTGCAGATTCAATGTGGGAATGTGTGAAAAGAGTTCGGAACCCCGCTTATTGGATCTGTACACACACTTCTCTCTTTCACCAACGTTACTACTGTTTTTCACTTTCACCAAACTTGTCTCGGTTTTTCTTCTGCGCATGAGAAAACAGAATTGCATATATTCAATGTCAAAATATACGACAGGGGTTCCGAATTTCCGCGACCAACAGTACACAAAATTTTCTGATTTCCTAGAGTGTTGTCATCTTTCATTCTTCACTGCCAAAACCAAAATACGCAGATTGAAAGTCGTAACGTGCAAAAAGAGTTCCGAACCAAGCTTATCGACTGTTTACACATACTTTTTTCTTCCACCAAAGTGACCGACAGTATACAAAATTTCCTGTTTTTCTAAACTTTTGCCATGTTTCATTCTTTACGCCTAAAAGGGAAAACTTGCAGATTCAATGTGGGAATACGTGAAAAGAGTTCGGAACCCCGCTTATCAGCTCTGTACACACACTTCTCTCTTTCACCAACGTTACTTCATTTTTGCGTTCTACTATTTTTCACTTACACCAAACTTGTCTCGATTTTTCTTCTGCGCATGAGAAAACAGAATTCTGCGCATGAGGTTCCGAATTCACGTGGCCGACAGTATACAAAAAGTTTCTGTTTTTCTAAAGTTTTCTCATCTTTCATTCTTTACGGCTAAAAACGGAAACATGCAGACTGAATGTCGTAACGTGCGAAAAGAGTTCCGCGCCGCCCTTACGGACTGTGTACACATAGTTTATTCTTCCACCTACGTTACTTCATTTCTGCGAACTACGATTTTGACCTTCACCAAACTATTGTCAGTTTTCGTTCTGTGCATCAGCAAACGGAATTATGTCGACTGTGTATACACACTTTTTTCTTCCACGAACGTCACATCATTTTTGCGAAGTAGTATTTTTCCCTTTCTCCAAGCTTGTGTCAGTTTTCGTTCTGTGCATGAGTAAACACAAGTATATACATTGAGTCTCATAATGTACGAAAGAGGTTCCGCATTCAACTGACCGACAGTATGGAAAATTTGCTGTTATTCTAAAGTTTTGATCTTTCATTCTTCACGGCTGAAAACGAAAATATGCAGGTTGAATGTGGGAACGTGGAAAAGAGTTCGGAACCCGGCTTATCAACTGTGTACACATACGTTTTTCTTCCACCAACGTTACTTCATTTTTGCGTTCTATCATCTCTCTCTTTCCCCAAACTTCTGTCAGTTTTTCTTCTCTGCATGAGAAATGTCATAATAAACAAAAGGGGCCGACAGTATGCAAAATGTGCTGTTCTTCTAAAGTTCTGCTATCTTTTATTCTTTACGGTAGAAAATATGCAAAATATGCAAGGAAAATATGCAGTTTGCATGTCGGCATGTGCGAAAACAGTTTCAAGCCCCCCTTATCGACTGCGTACACACACTTCTTTCTTTCTTTCTTTCACACTTCTTTCTTTCTGATTCTTTACGGTTAAAAACGGAAACATGCAGACTGAATGTCGTAACGTGCGAAAAGAGTTCCGCGACTGTGTACACACACTTCTTTCTTCCACCAACGTTACTTCATTTTTGCATTGTACCTGAGTAAACAAAAGTATATACATTGAATGTCATAATATAGGAACGAGGTTCCGCATTCAACTGACCGACAGTATACAAAAGTTTCTGTTTTTCTAAAGTTGTCATCTTGCATTCTTTACGGCTGAAACCGAAAATATGCAGATTGTATGTTGTATGGTGCGAAAAGAGTTCAGAACCCCTCTTATTGACTGTGTACACATACTTTTTTCTTCCACCAAGGTTACTTCATTTTTGCGAAGTACTATTTTACTCTTTCTCCAAACTTGTGTCAGCTTTTCTTCTGTACAGAGGAAAACGGAATTGTATGGATTCAATGTCATAATATACGAAAGGGGTTCCGAATTCACCTGACCGACAGTATACAAAATTTTCTGTTTTCCTAAGATTTTGTCGCGTTTCATTCTTTACGGCTAAAAAGGGAGATATGCGGATTGAATGTCGTAACGTGGGAGATTAGTTCCGGATCTTCCTTATCGACTGTGCACACAATGTTTTCTTGCACGGTGGTTAATTGATTTTTGCGAAAGGAATTCCTAATCCGCTTGACTTACAATATGCCAAAGTCTTTGGGTGTAGTTTTTTCGTCGTGTCGGACAAAAGTAAATTAGACAGATTCTGGTTGGAGATATTGAGAAATAGGTTTAGGGGTCCACCTCCCCGAAATGTGCTCTCAGCCTAGGTTTGTTTGAAGAGGACACCTGATATCATGTATCCTTTAGTTTTATCGATGATCTGATAACCATTCACTAAGAATTTTGTGTACTGTCAGTCAGGTGGATTGAGAACTCTTTTCGCACGTTACGACATTCAGTTTGCATTCACCCGTAAAGAAGAAACTGAAAAAGCTGAAGGATATATGTAATCAGATATTCTCTTCAAACTGACATAGGTTGAGGGCACATTTTGGGGAGTGGACCCCCTTTAAGAGAAAAGATTGACGAAGTACTTGCTTACAGTTTATTGACATCAAAATCGTTCTATTTCAAGTAATAGAACTGTGCAAAGGATGATTTCAGCTATATGTATATAGAGGTGCATTTGTCAATTACAACGAAAACCTTGTATTTAGGATTGCACCAAGGCTTTAGTTAGTGAAAAAGACAAAACATTTGATTGACCATCGTCTACTACCATGCGTTTATCCAACATAAGAATGCAAAACGATCACTTTTTCCTTGTCAGCATTAACCTAGAGACTAGTTCTGTAGTGTCCTTTTATTTATACGGAATATACCGTGTGGCTGCTATACTTATTAAAAACATTGCTCAATAAAACACTAAACGAGTTTTCCATATCAGAATTACACTCCCTGCCCCAAAAGATCATGACAAAACATCGTTCAAAATGTCGTCTGAAATAGTCTTTTATAGTTGACATTTAACGAAGATGACACTCGAATATAACATCATCGATAATCACAGCTCTGTATACTTTTCATTCTGAAGCTAACTAACAGAATTAAGCAGCTTCATAAAAAGCCTTAAGGTTCTGGCGTGTTCTCGAACACTTCGATTGGAGCAAAACCATTGTATCTAAAATTAACATCGTCAATCACACTTTTTGAACAACGACCTCATCCTAGTCATCAACAATTATTCAATCGTGACAAGATCTTGGAAGGTTCTTACAGCACAAGATGTTCAATCAAAACCTTCAAGGTGTAAAGCAGATTTGATCATCTTGCAGGAGAAATCTTGTAAATATTACATGATCTCGAACATATCTATTCCATCTCTTCAAGGTTTCGATTGAGCATATAGAGTTATAAGATTGGAGTATTGTGGTTTTTCCTTTCAGTTCTACTATGACTTTATAAGCGGATTAACTGTTTCACTTACGAGGGAACCGCCCGAGGTGATAAATCGCTTTTTGATCGACATCTAGTGGGTTATAGGTTATCGACCATGCTGATTCCGAATATGATCATAGGGCTTCCCCATAGCCTTTCGAAGATCCAGTTTTTTGGATCTCCGAATCCTGCATTGTTAGGAAAGGTTTGGGTTATTTTTTTGGGTTTCTGAGAAACTGGTTTTCCAGAAGACTGGACCTTCGAAGGGCTATGGGGAAGCCCTATGATCATATTCGGAATCAACATAGTCCATAACCTATAACCCACTAGATGTCGATCAAAAAGCGATTTATCACCTCGGGAGGTTCCTTCGTTAGACATGAGTACGCTGCACCTTTTTTGTTTCTAGTAAATGAATTATCACCTGTGTCAGCACATAATTCGAATACCAGAGATCAAAACGAAGTGTAAGTTGTTTCTGTCTATTAGACTCACCGGATGTCAATAATTCAATTACATTTTTTCGTATTGTAGGCAAATATGTTTAGATGCTATTGAAACTGATGGTTTCACAACTGATTGTTTACATTTATTTCATGGTTCATGTTTTGGACGGTGGATGAGACTAAACTTCACATGTCCAATATGCCGTCAAAATCTATTTATATGGCCTGATGCTCATGATCCTGGTGAGTATAATGGTAACATACACACAGCGAAACTACTCTGTCATATTTTCTTTGATCATCCTTCAAAGGATTGAATTTTTGGATAAAAAAGGGATCCTTAATGATAAACTACTATTGTCTTTCGTAGAATCAACGTCCAATACAAACTTTTTTTCTTTTTGTTTCCTAGACCGTATTGTATTCAGTCAAACATGTATACCGGTGGATGTTCAGCATTAAATATATCTTCAAACTCATGGAATACTTCAGACAACTCTTAGACCGTATTTCAGACTTTACTTTATATATCATCTTGTTTTTGTTCTGTCGAAAGTATCTCATTAATTTTAAGGTTGTTTCCTAGATGCACTTCTTCTTTGTTTCTGCGACATTTTTTTTGTGTTATACACATTAAAATAAAGCATATGTGCGTTGCCGCAATACATTCTGACATGATATATTATACGGTTACAATATATAGTTCCAAATTTTGTTTCATAATAGCACTTTATTCGTATAACAAGATGATATGATTAACCGTACAATGTAGCTGATTTGAACCAACGACTCTAATTTTATTATATGTGCCAGTATCAGTGTGTCAACCCTCCAATAACCTTATTAAACTATTTTCTCTTGTTATTCTTGGATCAACTGAAAGTGGTTCTTTTTTAAAATCATTATTATTTTATCAACATATTCTTTTCTATTCAGTATCACATCATTATCAGGGCGCGTAATGGCAATTATTTGATCTTCATGCAACGGCTTTAATAAATTTTGCTTATATTTGTTATTTACTTAACTGATATTTACATTGGAGCAAAAGAAATCAGTGATATCCAAATCTTGTTGCTAAATTTAATTCATTCGTTGTTCGTTTACTATATTCCATCGTACCTGCTAATAATTTCTTATGCACCGTATCAGTAACTGTTATTTGATAGTATAGTTGTTCAATGTTTGTAATAATGGATAAATCATCATGAATCTAATTTAACTGTTAATTAAACTGAAGACCTTTACAAACACATTCTATATTAAAATATTTTTATACTGTATCTGGTTTCTTCTAATAGACAAACTAACTGGCTCTTTCTATAAGTTCTCAAAATTTTCAGTCTTGCGTTAGATGTGTTATAACGCAAAAACTTCGTCTTCCCAAGCAGTAAGAAAAGTTTGTCTCACGCGAAGGAATTCTATTCTTCATCGAGTTTATCATAAAATAGACTAAAATGTACGATGAGTGAGTGGTGTCAACTTCCACAGTTCCGTGGAAATTCCAGAACTCCAGCAGAATTCAAGAACAACAAGCTCCCACTGAGATAATACTCAATTCTACTGTGATTGGTGCAACTCTTCCAGAACTCAACCAGAATCCACTATATTGCCTTTCACACTCAGATGCTCTTTACGAATTGGCAGATTCTGCTCAATGGTAGTGCCATTTTGGTGGAAGTCTACGAGAATCTACTATATAATTTTGAGGACATGCGGAATTTTGAGAATTATGTGAAGATATGGTGGACTTTAGTAATCGTATAGATACTCATAGCTAGCTATGTTACAAACCCAAACCCAGTTCTTTGGTTAGGCCTGGGTTTGTAGCATACCTACTCACAGCCAGGGCTGTAGCGTACCCACAACAACTTTTCAGCAGATCAAAATTACTTTTATTGTTTTTCGGGTGATCACAGCAGAATTGAGCAGAATCTGCCAATTCGTAGAGAGCATCCGACGAGGGAACCATCTGAGGTGATACCTCCCGTTTTCATTCATTCATATCTCATTTAGTTGAGTATATTGAGATAGTAAAAACCCTAAAGGAGATTTTCCCCAATCTCATTCCTTCAGTAGTTATCAACGTTTTCCTATTTTTACCCTTATACAAGATGAAAAATTTTTTAAATGACAAATTAGCAAAATAAGTCAAAGAGATCTGAAAGTTTGACTATATATGGACAAACTATTTTAGTGTGGCGTATTAGACGAGTGTATCTGTTTACTAGCGCCT